GTCTCTTTGGCAAACACTGCTGCTTTTTCACTCAAGACTAAATTGTAGCAACTCCCCTTGCTCTCTACTCTGAATAATTGTGAGCCCTACGGCCCTTCTCACATTGTAACAATGTATATGAAATTTCTCAGAGCTGTTTTAAAATGTAACATTATTGTTGCTATTGAACTGCACATGCTGCATGGTTTGCTTTGCATATGTTTTAGCTAAGTTAACCTTTGGGAATGATTAACGCAGAGAAACAAAAATCGTGACACAGTTACGTGTTTGTGTGTTTTCTACCTTCCTCTTCGCCAAAGAACTTAGACTCAATATAGAAAGCCCAATGGGAAGGTTTGAAGTCAAAACACTCATTTTGTTATATTTCCAAACTTAGATTGATACAACCAGTCAATATCAGTGATTTTCATTGTATCTATATTTGATGCTATTTTTATCATGCATCAAATATAGATCACTTAAATAAAACAAATCTGATCATTTTTTCTTTCAGCACATTTAACTGATTCCCTTTCCTCCTGAAAAAAAAAAGCTATTTTTCATTTTTATTCATCATTTTTATATACCGAAGTAAAAATACTTTATTGTAGTAGTTTTCTTAAAGAAGTAAATTTAAATATCCTAGATTCAATACAGATATTCTAGGCATATAATTCTTGCCTTCCCAGAAATCACTGACAAATTAAGTTTTATAACTGAAAATTAACTATTAATTTTCTAGCAATGATATTTTAAATATTGCCTCCCTTTAATGACTCATTATCACTGTTTCCCTTTAACCCAAGAATTCAATTTACATTTTCTAAAATTAAATAATTTGTGCATTGCAATGTAATCATATACTAAACGGAAAATATTTTATCCTTTTCAAATAATTAGGATTCTTGAGAATAAAGACAATAAAAACTTTTCTCAAAATCCACACCAATAGAAATAAATTAGTTTCTCTGTTTTTATTTAAATATTGATTGTGTATTTACTCTTTTGACTAAGGTATAGTTCTCTGTTGAGCACTGCAGATTGCCTTCTTGTTCTATTTTTTGTTTGTTTGTTTGTTTGTTTGTTTTTCGAGACAGAGTTTCTCTGTGTAGCTTTGGAGCCTATCCTGGCATTCGCTCTGCAGACCAGGCTGGCCTCGAACTCACAGAGCTCCACCTGCCTCTGCCTCCCGAGTGCTGGGATTAAAGGCGTGTGCCACCAACGCCTGGCTTGTTCTATTTTAATAATCACTTTATACTTTACTATTTTAATTTTTTGAAGATTTATTTACTTTGAATTTATGTGTATGGGTTGTTTTGCCTGTGTGTGTCTGTGTACAAGTGTGTGCAGTGCTCATGGAGGCCAGGAGAAGATGTTAGATTTCCTGGATTAGAGTTACAAATGGTTGTGAGCTGCTGGGAACAGAACCCAAATCCTCTGGAACGGAAGCGAATGCTCTTAATCACTGAAATCTCACATGAGATTCCCACTATTCTTTTGTCACAAGGAATCCCAGATTCCCTTTGTAAGTTCTTGGTCTTGATAAGAGAATTAAAAAATAAACTAGAGGGGAACTTGATTTATTTTCTATATATAATGTGCCTTTATTGTTTTAAAAAAAGTACATTTAGCATAACATGAACTTCAGATTCTTTTCTTTTATTGGACTTTCTGTCAAAGTAAAAACATGAATTTTAAATTTGTAACTATACCAGGCATATTTTAGGGGAGACTTTATTATTATTTCAATTACTTAGGTGCTTTAAGTGAACATATACATATTAGTTTATGTTTGAAATACAAATTATGATGTCAGTGAAATCTTCATTGGCATCACTGTTTATTTTGGATTTGGACACCTCACATATCTCCCTTGAATGTGCTTTCACAAAAAGCAATAACTATTATTGTATTTCACTTACCTATGTCTTGGCAAGAGCAGGTAGGAATTTCACTATCACATCATTGTGGTCATAAAGCCAATGATTCCAAATCCTGGTGCCTCAAAAGACATATTAGTTTTCTTTCTCTTGCTCTGATAAAATACACATACAAGCACATACATGTACACAGACAGAAACCTTAGAGGATAAGGCATATATTTTAGCTCACAATTCTAGATGGTATCCCACCACAGTGGGGAAGTCAAGTCAGCAAGAACTTCAAGTAGCTATTCATATCCCATCCCCAGTCAAGAGCAGACAGAAATGAATGTGCACCTGCTTCTCTCTAGTCATTCTCCTCTCTGCATTTGTATAATCCAGGACCCAAAGCCAGAGGAGAGTTCTGCAAATAGTCGACAGGGCTTCCACTTCAATTAATGCAAACAAGACAATCTCCCACAGACATGCCCACAAGCCAACCTCATCTAGACAGTCTCTCATTGAAACTCTTCTCAGGTTACAGTAGATTGTGTGAAACTGACAATTAAAACTTAACATTATAGACACATTCAGAAACATTGTGGGGATTAGAGAAAACAACAGAGCAGGCAAGCCACACATCTTGGCAGTTTCCTGGTAGGAGATGGGACAGGGAAGAAGAGAAAAGCTAAGCTTTCTGAGAAGTCAGTAAGAGTCAAGCTCAACACTGGAGCCCATGACCTATTGCATGGTGGGAGGCTTCATTATGGAAGGAAAAGAGGGAAGGTTGGGTTTTTTGGTCAAACTCACAGAACAGGATTAACAGAGTCTGCTAACAACCACGTGAGGGAAGGAACCTTAGAAGTCTAGTGCATATGTCATCATAGATATTTCTCTCACTTTCTTTCTGTCTTCTTTTTCCCTCCCATTTTTTTAAATCAAGTCTCCATGTCCATCATATGTCTTCTGACTTTAGGCTACTCTTTTTTAGGTTGTAAAGCAGGGTTTTCTCCTTACAGAAGGCAGACTTTACATTTGTCTGAATAAAGGAAGTGACTGTTGTCTCCTTCAAAGTGACATGTTCAGCCATTAACCAAGACACTTGTCAGGAGCTTAGTGACCATTCACAAGTCGATGTGTGTCAGGAGATATTAACTTGTCAACTTACTGGGATTCATATATCTCCAAGGGAATCTTTGACACAGGAAGCATCTATTGCTACATCAGACAAATCTTTCATGCCATGGATGATCAGGCCGTGTGTAACAAAGTAGCTGAGAGAAGCATGAATGTGTCTCAAATGATTCTGGAGGTGTTGACTTCAGATGGCCCCTTATTGCCTTTCTCTTTGTCTGATATCCTGTATCACTATTTGTAAATCTTTGAAAACATATTTTCTCAAATTGAAATTCTTGTTCACTGGGTTTCTCTGTAACACTCTATGATAAATTGTTTTTCCAAGAGTTCTGTAGAAATTGTTGAATTATGGTTAGCAAATCTTAAATCTTGAGCTATAGCATCTCCTTCTTCATGTTTTACTTTGCCACAGTGCTGTTTACAGTGCTGTCTTTAAGATAACCTTCTTTCAAGTGAATATCCTGCAAACCTCAGTGTAACTCATAACACCTGTACCTGTCTGTTTGCCACTGACCAGAGACTTCTTTTTTGTAGATAGATGTTTTTATTATTATTAGAAACAAGATTATTTTACATATCAATCCCAGTTCCCTCTTTCTCTCCTCCCCTCCACCCCCCCATCCTCCATCCAAACCCTTTTCTGTTCCTCAGGGAGGATGAGGACTTCCCTGGAGGATCTTCAAAAGTCTTTCATATCATTTGGAGCAGGACCTAGACCCTTCCTAGTGTGTCTAGGCTGAGAGAGTATCCCTCTGTGTGGAGAGGGTTCCCAAAGTCCATTCGTAGACTACGGATAAATACTGATCCACTTCCAGAGGCCCCATAGATTGCCTAGATCTCCAAACTGACATCCTCCCTCAGGGGGGTCTGAAACAGTCCTATGCTGGTTTGCAGCTATCAGTCTGGGGTCCATGAGCAACCCCTTGTTCAGGTCAGCTATCCCTGTGGGTTTCTCCAGCCTTGTCTTGCCCCCTTTGCTCATCACCCCTCCCTCTCTGCAACTGGATTCCAGAGTTCAGCTCAGTGTTTAGCTGTGCGTGTCTGAGTCTGCTTCCATCAGCCACTGGATGAAGGCACATTTTTGTCTTTTTGTGACTGGGAGACTTTCTTAATAGCAGGCGCTTCTACTTTACTTTTGATTTTTCATATCTGTTACTTATGCAAAGACAGCAAAACATTTGTTATGTGCCCCACACTACCACGAGGCTATTCCAAAGTTTGGGGTGAAATCTAGCAGTGTAACTATATGGTCACTGGGTTTTGTAAAACTTACCAAAGCAAGGCATTTTAACTAGATTGCTACATAATCCTGTAGCTTAGTTTAAAAACTTTTCTCCTTGATTTTAAAGGGGGCTCCTAAACCTTTAAGATTTGAACACAGCAAACCTATCTTGATCTTTGCTGACAGATATATCTGGAAATATTCTGCAATAAGAAAAAAAAAACATTGAATGAGTAACTAAAAGAACAGAAAGGCAGGAGGGTGGTTAGATTGAGTCTTGTCTGAGTTGTGTAGCAAGACCCTGCTTAGACAGACAGACAGGCAAAAGTATTAGGCATTCTGGTAAATGATGATTTTGTTTTTTTACAAACACCAAAGGCCATCCTGTTATGCCATCCTCCATGCTTTTCTTTCTTCTTGTTCTTCTTCTTGTTCTTCTTCTTTTCTTTGTTTTCTCTTTTTCCCCCCCAAGACAGGGTTTCTCTGTGGCTTTGGAGCCTGTCCTGGAACTAGCTCTGTAGACCAGGCTGGTCTCGAACTC